TGAGAAGAAAAGTCCTTCCTTCCTTCATATACTGTGGTAAGCATGGAGAAACCCAAGAGTGATTACATGCCAGGTGACATCAGTATGTTGTGACCTAGGCAAGTCATTGTCTTTGACCCTGGTGATGCCCAGAAGGGAAGAACCGTGGATTCCCTCAGTCAACAAGGCTTCTCCATGGCTGCCGCAGCAAATGGCGCAGTCATATGAAGAGGAAGCTGCCTGCTTGTGTATCTTCCATTTTTAAGATCCTATCAACTCTTTGGCTAATTTTTAGGTTGGATCATGTCTTCTTTCTAACTAGAAATTTTTTGAATTATGAATATACTTCCCAAATACATTTTCATAAAACAGACATAATAGACATAGTACATATAATACATGTTATATATAACAAAATGTATTATGTAATTCTAAAGTGATATGATTTATTCTGAAACATTGATGTTAATGTCTTGATTTGGGCCATTAGTATTAGTGTGCTACTTTTTCCTGTCTCTTTACTTTTCTGTCCTGTTTCTTTATACTTGCAAGATTGAATTTCTTGTAGGGGACATCTTGATTTGTTGCAATTATTTGTTCTTGTTTTGATTATTTTTGGGGCTGTTGGGGAATTGAACTCCAAACCTCACATATTCACACAAATGAATGTTCTAGTGGTCTTCTACTTAGATGCAATGTCCATGCCTTTTAATAAGAACATTGATACTGCTCAGATGTGATTGGACTGTTTATCTGGTGTCTGCATTTTGGTATGTTTTTCCCTTCCATGTCTTTCTTGTTTCTTTCTTAGTTTAGTCAATCCAACCTGTGGGGTAGGATTATCACTTTCATAACTCCATTGTCTTTTATGGATTTAGCAACTATAACTTGAGACATTGTGGTGAGAGTGGTAATTCAAAACTTTTACAAGGAAATATAGGAAAGCAAGGTCATTTGGAAATCGTATTGTCTTAAACCAGTATCAAATATGGATTACCATCTAAAAAAGGGTGAAATGGAGAGATTTGTTCTTAAGAACTTGTGCTTTTCAAAATATTGAACAGGAAATAGTTATTTATGATATCCATAAATTTGTGCACCTACAATGGCTTAATCAAAAATTATTTTAAATTATTTAAGAGAGGATATGTATTAGATTGCCATGTTGTAGTATGTACATATATGCAATTAATCAACAAACAGTAAAAATGACAAGTAACACTGAAACAATTGTAAATCTACCAGAGAACAAACTGAAAGTCTGCTATTCCTCTGGTGTGAGTATAAATTGACACATGTTGTTTATAAGCCTCAAAGGAAGGTACAATGTAGATGATACTGCTGTTTGGATCTTTAAACTTCCTTTTAACACCTCCGGTGACATATATTTCATAAAATTGAACAAAAAGAGAAGGACATTAAGCAATGACTTTCAAATATTTATAAAGTATCTTATGGACATAGTTTTAGGTGTATTACAAATAGTGACAATTACTTGTGGATAATTGATTTTGATGATAATTCTTACTTACAATTGTACATTTTTTTGAGGGAGGGTCCGTTCGTGAGGCCTGAACTCTGGGTCTGGGCGCTGTCCTTCAGCTCTTCAGCTCAAGTCTAGTGCTCTACTACTTGAGCCACAGCGCCACTTCTCGCTTTTTTTTTTTTTTTTTTGCATATGTGGTGCTGAGGAATCAAACCCAGTTCCTCATGCATGCAAGGCAAGTGCTCTATGACTGAGCCACCTTCCCAGGCCACAATCCAACATTTTTGTAAAGGACTGATAGCTACAAATTGTCTTAGTGTTACTTTGTTCTCTCTGGCTCACTCTTAGATTTGTATATGAGTGTTAGTGACACTCAGTCCAAATGTTTATTGTAAATATGTTAAATTATATAAACTTCCAGTATAACACTTATGTCTCACGGTCTTTAAGATTAAGCTTTCACAGTCAATCCTAGATATGGAATCTTGACTATAATTGTAATGTCAGAAAGCTTAGCCCCGGTTTTTTTCCCATCCTGAATTCCTTGTTGTAGTCATTCAGTGGATATTTCCGGGCCTCCTGCTGTCAGATCTCCATTCTGCTTTCAGAGGTGAAAATAATAAGGCAAACTCTTCCCTAAATATCTTATTTTTTATGTTCAAAGACACTAAAGATGATCTAGAAATTATACCATGAGGGACTTAGTACCTGTGAGAAGTCACATAGGAGGATAGGAAAGAACAAGTAACAACCATGCTAAAGACATGGTTAATGGTCATGTTGATCCATCCCATGACTGGTTTTGTCAGAAAAGTTTATTAGGTAAGGATCAGTGATTGACAAGACTTATCTTGCCTGCAGGTAGGCTAGATGAAGAGGGAAGAGATGCAGGATGGGCTGGGGAAAGAGAGAACACCTTCAGAACATTCCCAGTCAATGACTTTTCAGTAATGCACTGTTCCCTCTCCACCATCTGACCCAAGCTTAAAACAGTGCAGAGCTGGGAGGGTCCCAATGAAAAAACTTAAGAGTGCTCTAGTAAAAGCAGAATTTGGTTTGAATCAAGACTTCGGTATAGGCTGTGCATTTCTCTGCAGTTGTGAAATTGCTGGCAAAAATACATAAATGATCATCATCATCATCATCATTATCAACACAACAATATTATTTTTAAATTATTTGCATATGAGCAGAGGGTGAAAATCTATAAAATAATGCAGAAAATGCAGGAGAATCCACATGGAAGGAAAGTTTGGAAGCTAGACCAAGAAGCTAATGCCAAAGATGCCAGCAAGGCTCACATTCAGTCACTCAGGAGCCACAGAGAAACAGCAAAACAGTTGAGCATATCAACCAATTCTATGGTACTGAGTTGGCTGTGTGTTTTGGGAGTGCATGGTTAATGAACAAGGTACATCTGAGCTCTGGGACACCCAGGTGTCTCCTGAGGGACTGTCACTTTGGGGTTCTTGATTGCTTCCAGTCCCTCAGGTATCCTTTTCACACGTTTGCAGCACTCATGTCTCAAGAAGCAATGCCTGCCCTCTCCTGACATGAGTGAAGCCTCCATCTGAAGATGGGCTTCCTCCTTCCTCCTCAGATGGCGAGGAAAGCACAGGCCCTGTGCAGGGCAGCTCTGAGCTGCACAGAGGCAGAGAAGCACAGAGCTTTGTGCACAGCAGGAAACGGTCCCTGCCTGGCTGTGTCTAAGCTGCTGGCACAGAGATACACCGCTGAGTCCTCCAGCTGTGCAGGCTGAATCTTCAGGGTGGAGTCTGCACCTTCAGGCCTCTGTGCAGAAAACCGATCTTTGGGCAACTGGGCATCCTCACTCATAGCCTTGTTCTGAAAATAAAGCAGCCTCTCTGGGCCCTGTCCCGGGCTCTGCCTGTACCAGAAGAGGGCATTGTGACCAGGAACTGGGTCACACCAAAGAGACACAGCTTGGCTTTTCTCTGTGACCTTGTATCTGGGAGACTGAGTGACCCCAGCTTCTGTGAGTGCTGTGGAGGGAAAGACAAAGAATCTGGGTGGAAACAGTGGAGATGACCTTGGGGGGATGTGACAAGGAGATGGTGGGGATGTGAGGACTCACCCATCCCCAGGAGACACAGGGACACGCAGGACGGCAGGCTGGTGCCCATGGTGAGGCAGTGCAGGAGGTGCTCCCAGCTCTCTGTCCTGCAGAATGCAGCAGAGGAGGAGCTTCTGTGTCCCCACCCAGCAGCCCCCACCGTGATGCTATGTGACATCTCCACGGAGGCCTCTGTCTTCCTGTCCAGTAGCTGCAAGCCCAGAGAGCTCTTGAGGCTGTGCACAGTCATGGCCTTTGCAAAGGCACATACTGTTCCAGCACTTCAGGAGTTGAGGCTCCCTGCACATTTTCAGATCTCTTGGATATTTCTTCTTGCCTCTACCAAAGCAACTGAAATTTAAGGTATCACCTAGTGAGCTTCTTTCTTCCATGTAACTAACTACCCATCCCTTTGAACCTTTCTCTTTCTAAAGGTTCTCATGGTCTGTCTTTTATTTATCTAGTGATAAGAATTCTCTGCCAAATTTATTAGAGGAGGTGAGCAATGCTACAGAAAGACAACAGCTCAGAAATGTTGCTATAGTTTAGAGGTGCAGTATTGCAGCAGCACTTAAGAATGTGGTCCTGTGTGCAGGCAGTGATCAGAAGCAGGAGTTTGGGGTCCCGCCACTGGGGCTCCGGTTTCCTTAATGGATCATTGTACTCATGGTTTCTGATCTGAATGAACTAGTGAGGGATGGAGAAAAATGACAAGATGACAATTGGGAACCTAGTTAGAGGAAGTTGCTCCCTTGGACATGTCCTGAATTATGTGCATACCTTGTGTTTATTTTCTCTCTCTCTATCTCTGTCTCTGTCTCTGTCTCTCTGTCTCTCTTTCTTCTCTACATGTTTTTTTTTCTCAGTCATGGGGCTTGAACTCTGGGCTTGGGCGCTATCCCTCAGCTCTTCAGCTTAAGGCTAGCACTCTACCACTTGAGCCACAGCGCCACTTCCACCTACAAGTATTTTTGTTGTGGGGAGCCAAAAGTGAAGTCTCTCAACATAATAGGCTTAACTATCTCACTGGAACATCTTGAGGCTGAGTTTACAGAATCCCACCTTTTCACCATGCCCTAAAGTAAACACCCTGCAGCTACTAATGACCACCTTTTCACCACGCCCTAAGTCCAAGCATATAAATAGCCTTGTGTGAAAAATAAAATTTGGCAGCTTGATCAGAATCCTTGTCTTGCTGTCCTTCTTTGTGTCTCTTGTCCCTTCATTCCTTCTCCCTTAGGTTCATTGCCCTCGTTGAAATCCTGCGGGTCGGGACAACTGGGGCCCAACGTGGGACTCGAGCCTCTGACTAAGGAAGGAACATCATCCTCCTGGAAAACTTGGCCAAGTACAGTCCGAGATCGTGAGATCGCCTCAACAGACCTCGCCAAGAGACAGATCCAGGAGGAGAGTGGGGACAGCGCGTGGTGAGTGACCCACCATGGGACAAGCAATGTCATCACCACGTGATCTATTTCTGTCAGACCTCAAGGAGGCCTTCAAGACACGGGAACGCGTGTTAAGAAAAAGGATTTAGAATTATTTTTCTCATTCATAGAGGACTTGAAGGAATCATAGATGCAAAAAGATGGCAAAGAGTACGAGATTGTTTAAAAGATTATTATGAAATCTTTGGTTCAGAAAAGTTTCTAGCTATCGCCTTTTCCTATTGGAATTTGATTAATGAAGTTTTGAAATGTTCTCTATTTGATAGTGGAATTTTAAAACTTGTAAAAATGGGAGAGGAGGTTCTCCAAATTGCCTCTTGGCCCCCCGAGGCTTGCCCATCGGTTGTATTAGATATGACTGCTGGTCAATTTACTGAAAATCCCTTCCTTTTGTGGCCAGGCCCTTAAAGGGCCCACTGCCCCTCCAGATCCAGATGTTTTTTTCTCTCCCCACTTTACCTAACCTGGCACCTTTACGTGAGGCCCTTCAACATAGGCGAGAACACCTTCAACTTTTAAAACAACTGCGGTCCCTTGATTATGAACTCCGCACACTGGCCTTGGCTGATACGCCAAAACCGCCTAATAAAATTAAGATTAGATCATGCCATCAATCAGTCCTTGCCTTTCCAGAAACTCAGAGCCAGACAGATAGGATCTCAGAGGGTGGGGAGGACGAATCAGAAGAGGAGGAAAAGGAAGATGAGGAACAGGATACTGGGGATGAAGAGGAACAACCCACCCAGAAAAAAGGCCAAGAGTATAAGAGGCTTAGCCTCCGGTTTGTTGAAAAGCTTAAAAATGCATGTGCCCAATATGGCCCGACTGCCCCTTATACGTTAGCCTTGTTAGAAAACCAAAGTGCGAGCTGGCTCACCCCTAATGATTGGAAGTTTCTGGCCCTCACAACCCTTAGTGGGGGTGATTTTGTTTTATGGAATGCGGACTTTAAGGAACAATGTAGAGAGACCAGGCAAAAAAATTTGGCTAAAACATCTTCAAAAACCTGGACCTATACTAAACTTTTGGGTAATGTGCCCTTTGATACCAATGCTAACCAGGCGCGCTTTCCTACCGGACTTTTGGCACAAATTCAAAATGCTGGCCTTTATGCTTGGAAGCGTCTCCCTCAAAAGGGATTGACTACTACTTCTCTGGCAAAAGTTAGAGAGGGGCCAGATGAACCCTACAGTGACTTTGTCTCGCGGCTTAACTTGGCTGCAGAAAGGCTTCTTGGGCCTAGTGAAAGTGAAAGTGCCTTTGTTAAACATCTTGCCTTTGAAAATGCTAACCCGGCATGTCAAGATGTCCTCTGGCCACATAAAAACGAGAGTGACCTCTCTGAGTTTGTCAGGCTTTGTGCTGGAGTAGGGACTGTTCACACCATGGGGCTCGCCATAGGTGCTGCCTTTACCAAGGCATTTCAAAGTTCAGTCCCCAGCTCACATACTTGCTTTAATTGTAAACAACCTGGTCACTTTGCTCGTGAATGTCCCTTCGGCAAACAAAGCCAAGGGGCAGTACCCTCCCAAGCTACAGGTAGACCACTCCCTGACACTTTTTGTCCCAAATGTGGTAAGGGCCGTCATTGGGCCAATGAATGTAAATCTAAAACAAATGCCCTTGGACAGCCCATTCTCTCTCGCTTTTAGGGAAACTTCCCTCGGGGCCAGCCCCTGGCCCCGACCATCCCCAAGACAAGCCCAGGGGCAATAGGGTTTGTCCCCTCCCAAACTCCCATTCCTACACAAGCCCCCCACCTCTCTCCACCATTGCCTCCCTCCAGCGAGCAACCCCAGGCAGTGCAGGACTCGACCTCTGCCGCCACCGACACAGTACTAGACTCTGTACAAGGACCTCAAATAATACCCACTGGGACCCTGGGACCCCCTCCGTCTCATATGTGTGCCCTTATTCTTGGAAGAGCCTCTGCTACCTTACAAGGTGTCCAAGTTTTTCCTGGTATTATTGATAATGATTATACAGGAGA